CATAAAAGCTACAGGGCTGAAACTTTGGGTACATAATCTACATGCACGTACGGGCTCCCATCCCCAAAATGGGCGGTCCTACCCGCGTAGTACCCGCGTAAGAACCGGGAAAAGTTTTTTTAGAGTAAGTTGATAACTCGCGAACCAGGAAGGCTAGAAAGCTGAAATTTAAAGGGAATGTCCCCCGCCTAGGTGCATACTAATGAGCTCAAAACCAACCCCCGGGTAAGCGTGTTACCCGCGTACGGGCCCGCCAAAGTTTTCCCCGCGTAAATTCATAACTCGTGAACCAAGTAAGCTAGAAAGCTGAATTTTTAAGGGAGTGTTTCCTGCTAGTTTTGGCGGCCAGCCTTAATTTGTTTAGCTAGAACGATCTGCCGAAAAAACCGATGCCAGTAGCGGCAAAAACTGCGGGGAACTATGCAAAAAACACATCTTCGCACGGGCAGCCCGGTGCGTTGGCCAATTATTTTTCTTACAGAGCCAAAATTGCGAATGCAGCCAAGTGAGCAGAAACACTCATTCCCTTACACTTTGGAACCCTCTCTTTAATTTTACAAAATTTGAAAAAAAATAATGCAAAGACTTTAGAACAACCAGCTTTTAGGACAAGCATAGCCACTGTGTTGACGATTCACCTGCTCACTCTTGTGGTCAACAACATAGCTGAGTTGAACTTTTTGCCCGCTTCATAGCCATTGTATTTAACCCTACTTCTTTGGTGCCCCGGTTTTGGTGGGTTGCAAGGCTCCGGCTCAATTTACTTGCTAATTTGATTTGCTTCTCAAAAGACTGGGAACTAAGATTTGCTCACTCTCAATTTTTATATCCCATGGTTCTAGCAGTTCGAGAAAACATGCAGAACGTGCCAAAAGGGCTCTTAGCTCCCAGGACTGCGACGTTTCCTTATCTTCATCCGTCATATTTTCATCTTTATTTTCTTCATCCTTCACGCCTTCTCCAGATCTATTGGTGTGAGCTACATTTATTTCACTTTTCGTATTAATACTGCCGCAAATGGCCATATAAACAACCAAATTCTTCGTTGGATGAGCAACGCAAAGGATCCTAGTATGGCCGCAAGAGAAAATAAAATCCGGCCGATAGGATATTTTGTTCGACGTGTTCATAACCAACAGCCACTCGCCTTAATAAGCAGAACTACCTAGAAAGTGCCACTTTTTATGCGTTTTTGCATATATAAATTGCAAAAACGCATATTGGGAAGAGGCTGTCTGTGTGTGCGTGTCTGTGTGTGTGTCTGTGTGTTCGCTCTTTTTGTCACCCACTTTCAACTCGAGGCCCAGTAAAGCTAGAAGGCTGAAACTTTGGGGATATGTGCCTGTACCATGCGCGACCCTCCCGTTTTAAAAAAATATGCAAATTTTTTGACGGGAAGACGGTCTCGGGAACCAAACGAGCTAAGGGGCTAAAACTTTGTAGGGATATTCCCTGTGTATGCACTAGCTAAAGGTTTCAAATTCAGCCCTTAGTTGTACGTGGTACTCACGTAAGGGCGTGTGAAAGTTTTAGGGGGGAAATTGCTAATTCAGGTACCAGGAAAGCTAGAAAGCTGAAATTTTGGGGGAATGTTCCTTATCCAAGCATTACCCAAATATTTCAAATTCAGCCCCCTGGTATGCATGGTACTCACGTAAAGGCATATGAAAGTTTCTGCAGAAAAATTACTAACTCGACAACCAGAAGAGCTGGACGAATGAAATTTTAGGCCGATGTCCCCTGTCCATAGTGCAATTTGAAAATTTCAAAATCAGCTTTCCAAGCACGTGGAGTACCCAAGTACGGCTGTGTGAGGGTTTTGAGGGAAAACTGCTAACTCGGTAACCAGAAAAGCTGGAAGGATGAAATTTTGAGGATATGTTCCTTGTCCAAGTACAACACAAGTGTTTTAAATTCAGCCCCAAGCTATATGTGATACTCATGTAAGGGCGTAAGAAAGTTTCTGCGGGAAAATTTCAACTCGGGGAACCAGAAAAGCTAGAAAGTTGAAGTTTCAGGGGAAGTTTCTTGTCTAAGTACAACTTAAATATTTCAAATTCAGCCTTGAGGTATGCGTGATTCTTACGTTCGGGCACTTAAAAGTCTTGATGAAAAAATTTCTCACTGAACAACTAGGTTACTCTTAAGGAACGACTGTTAGATGGAAATTGTACATTTACTTTGCATATGGTGATTTATACTAGTGACCGCAAAAGTTAGGTGTAAGGCAACAGCAATTCATACAGTTAATGGCCTGAGTAATTCAAGTCCGGTGCAAAAACGCATGATCGCACGGGCCCACCCGGTGCGTTCCAGCCTGGGTTCAAAATTAGAATGCGCACAGTAGTACTAACTGAAACTCACCACAGCGCAGTCTGGCAGTGCTGGGCCCAGTATGTGAATATAATACATCTCAGTAAAAGCACGGTTTTTAGTGTCACACTTAAATAAGAGAATAAAGTGTTTAGCGTCTTACTTTTTAGCTTTCGTTGGACAACGATTTTTGTGT